GGGTTTAGGGTTTAGGGCTGGGGCTGCGCAAGAAAGGCCCCAAAACAGAGGAGTTGTTGCAAAAAACTGGGGGGGTTCACGGTTGAAGCGCTTAGGGCTTGGAGATAGGGGTTTAGGCTTTGAGTGTAGATTGTCTAAAATACAGTACCCTTTCTCCTGATTCACAGCAGTGGGCCTACCCGATCTTGAGTTTCGGGCTTCGGGTTTAGAGTTGAGGGTGTAGGGTTGACGCCTCCCGCGACAGCAAGCATTTAGGGTTTAAGGCTTTTGTACAAGGTTCCAGGCCCAGAAAGCAAGACAATTCGTCAGCACTGACAAGGCCTGTGGGCTTAAAGTTGAGAGTTTGGGACGTACGGCTTCAGAAAGATTCTAAAAAGGTGTCTGTAAAAGGGTTTTGAACGAGATTTTATGAGCTTTAAGGGGATTCTGCAAAGGCGGTAGGTCTTGACTCTTTCATTCCTTACAACGCTTTTCCAGAGTTTCTTACGGTTGGTAAGGGCTTGTAGAGTTCAAGCATCCCTTAACTTGCCATATGTGAATTGAGATGTCTACCTTGAGGCGAGCGCTACAACAATTGTCGCTAGTGCAAGTGCACCTCCCATGTAGCCTGCGACAGCGGGGCCTGCGAAGCTCCCCGCAGCGACTCCCGCTGCTGTCACAGCTATACCTCCAAGGAGGATTGCGGCTGTCTGTCCAACCAGCTTGGCGTCTCCCAGGAGGGCCTCCACACCTTCGACAGCCACTCGGCCTTGCACAGCTAGTGCACACGCTCTCCACTCGGGCACTACTGCCGCCTGGAAGAAGCTGAGTGTTCCCCGCGCTTGTATGAACGTACGAGTTCGGCCCTGTACACGCGCATCACCGCGCGGGCACCTTCCCACAGCGTGCCCTCTTGTCTCATACGTGCTTGCAGTGCGGTCGGTGCATTTTGGGCGTGGGAAAATGCGCCGCTGACGCTACCAGCGGGACATGATCAAACGGGTTGCTCAAGTGAACAACCCGACCAGACAGACAGGTACGTCATCAGTCGGGCTCTCGTCACTGGCCACTCAGCAGCGCCCACTGGGTCAAGATCGTGCACCATCAGGGCTTAAGACTGAAACTAACCCTTCCGAAACCGCAAAGCAAAGCATATGTACAGCCGTTAAGCAGAACACCAAGAAACCTTCTCACGAATCAAACTAAACTTCTGAAACACCCTGAAACCTATAAACCCCAGACCCTCAACCCTAAACCCTACAAACCTTTCAACCCGAAACCCTATAAACCCTGAGGCCTAAACCTATGAAACCCTAAACCCTAAACAACACCATAAACCCTAGGCCCTAAACCCTAAACCCCATAAACCCTGGACCCTAAACCCTAAACCCTAAACCCGATAGACCCTATAGACCCTAAAGCCCATAAAAACCCAGACCCGAATCCTAGAACCTAAACCCTGAACCCTATAAACCCTAGACCGTAAACCCCATAAACCCTAGACCCTAAACCTTAAATCCTGTAAACCCTAGACCCAAAGCCTAAACCCTAAACCCTAAACCCTAAACCCTAAACCCTAAACCCTAAACCCTAAACCCTAAACCCTAAACCCTAAACCTAAAGCCTGAGACCTCCAGCCTGGGGCCTGAAAATCTCTCGGTAACCAGGTGCGGCACATTGGCCGCTCCCTTCCTTTGTGAGGGCCCACGCAAGGCATGTCCTGCTGGGAATTGCAAACAAAACCTAGGGTTTAGGGTTCAAGGCTTGGGGTTTAGGGTTTAGGGTTTAGGGACCCCTAAGCCCCTAAGCCCCGAAACCCCGAAACTCTAAACCCCAAACCCCGAAACCCCGAAACTCTAAACCCTAAACCCCGAAACTCGAAACCCTAAACCCCGAAACTCTAAACCCCAAACCCCGAAACCCCGAAACTCCAACCCCTAAACCCCGAAACCCCGAAACCCTGAAGCCCGAAACCCTGAACCCCGAAACCCCGAAACCCCGAAACCCCGAAACCCTGAAGCCCTAAACCCTAAACCCTAAACCCTAAAAGCTTAGCCCGAAAGCTTGGCTCTGTTGCGGTTCAGGGATCGGCCGAGCCGGTTTCGGCTTAGAGCCTAGGAGGTTTGGGAAGGGTTTAGGGTTTAGGGTTTAGGGTTTAGGGTTTAGGGTTTAGGGTTTAGGGTTTAGGGTTTAGGGTTTAGGGTTTAGGGTTTAGGGTTTAGGGGCTGGTTTAGGGTGGGATGGGGGTCCACAACTCCAGTCTAGTAATTTGAATACAGCTTGCTTAAGCAGGTTTCTGAATAGGTGTATCGATCCCGCTGCCTCTGGGTGTAGAAAGTTCAGTCTCTCACATTGTCGAGTTTAGGCTCTGGGTCCATCTCACTTTGTCTTAGGAGTAATTGGTGAACCTCTGGAAGTCGATAACCACGCGTACTTACGGTAAACCGAGGAAGTTGGAATACTTTGCCGTAAGCGCAGGCGGATAAGGCTGCTCTGACTTTCTGCATGGCTTCTATGTTTTCGGCTGGGCCAAACTAACCCCTAAACCCTAAACCCTAAACCCTAAACCCAAGATTCTGAGGTATTGCGGAAGCGCTCCTGAGAGAAGCGCAGAGCTCGAAAACATTTCCCCTCCTTGTGGTACCAGAATGTCTGGGGCCCTAACAGACCCCAAACTCGACAGCGGGTTTGAACATGGAGCGTAGCACGTTGCGAGACCTGCCGAGAGAACATGCCTGAAGATTCTCTCCTATAGAGGCCTTAATAGCTAGAATAGGGTTTTGGGAAGTTTTGGGGCCCATTATACTGTAACTATAATAAGGAGCTCCCAAAATAATGTAGGTAATTCTTTCGGCTCCGATAGTACATGATCCTAGTGCTGACTTCAGCTCATTTTCTTTCGCAGCGCCGTGGTCAAGAACTTTGTTCGACCAACCAGTCCCTGCTACTGGGACCCCGTGATCTCACAGACGATGCCCATCACATTTTATCATAGAACTTCTGCCACGGCTTATTCCACATGATGGAATCCTCACTGGTGAGCCTGGTATCGCAGGCAAGCACGTAGTACTTCTCACAGTACATGTCGTACTTGTTTGGGCCGACATCACATGGGCTGGGCTTAGGTCGACGACCCCAACAGCCACGCTCTGACTTCGGCAACTTTGCTCCTTTCACCGGGCACTCGTCGCCGAAGGGGTTCGTGTAGACCTTTGACCCAACCGGCCTGAAGCAGCAGCACGTTCCGAAAGTCGAGTTAGAGTCGGACTTGACGTGCACCTCAACATGCTCCCCATGCGCATCATCTTGGCGGCGGATGCAGCAGCCAAGCTGCACCAAAGCCACAAAGACAAAGACCACTGCGCGACTTCCCATCATCAGGGCAGGTGGAATGCAAGGTTGAGCAAACTTACAACAGTTTGACCTTGAGAAGAAGGCGGCTCGCATGGATCGAACGTGGAGACATGTGGGAGTTTCCGAAAATAAGGGGTACCGTATTTTGGGGTCATTATAATAGGGATCCTACTAATTTGGGGTACCATATTAGGGTGCCTGTTTTCGGAAACCCCCATGTGCCTGGAACGCCCTGGAACCTGTTGCAACCTGCTTTGAGATCAGGCTGATGGTCAAAATCCTGCATGACCCTTCCGACCTAAACTATGGGATTTATGGTACTATACTATATTTGTGTCATGCAGGATTTTGTCCATCAACAGTCGCCCTGCTGGAAAGTCCTTCCATGACTTGTGCACAGCCGGATAGATCTTCTTCGTCCAGCTGTTGTTTCGGAGGAGGTAGAACCTTAGAGGATCCGAAACCCTAAAGCCTAAGAGGGCGTCATCTTAAACTCTAAACCCATAACCGCCACATATCCCTAAACCCTAAGCCCCTGAACCCTAAACCCCCAACTCTAAACCCATCTTTAAACGGGTTTAGGACAGAAGGCTTGAGGATGAAAAGTTTGGGGCTTTGTGGTCCAGGATTGAGGGGGTGTAGGCTTACGGGTTTAGCTTTTGGGACTGAGGGTGTGTAGTGTAGGTTTGAGGATTCAGGATTGAGGGCGTAGGCTTCATGATGGAATTGGGGTTTAGGGTTTAGGGTATGCACAGGGTCGAGGGTTTCGGGTTTAGGGTCTAGGGTTTCGGGTAAAGCCTAAACCCTAAACCCTAGGGTTTTGGGTTTTGGGGCTTTTGGGGTTTTGCTGCTCAGCCCCGAGCGGTTGTTTTTGTTGGTCTCTTGACTTCCGTATGCAAGTCTCCCTCGAAAAAGGCACCAGCCTTAACTCTAAACCCTAAACCCTAAACCTCAAATAAGGCACCAGCCTTAGCTCTAAAACCTGAACCCTAAACCCTAAACCCTAAACCCTAAACGCTAAACCCCAAACCCTAAACCCTAAACCCTAAACCCTGTACTCTATGCTCGAAAGCCTGAAGCCCTGAAGCCCTGAGGCCTTACCGTAGGCCCGAAACCCTAAACCCCTGAA